TACAACTTGCCTCATTCATATTCAGACCTTAACAAACTTGTCAAAACAGCTTGCCAACAGGAAAACTCGACAGGGAAGCCTGACCGAGCACCTGGTGGAGAAAGCTCACCACATGCTCTGAATGACCTCCTTAATGGAAACTGAGCACCATTATCTCCAGGAAACACCTTATGGGCACTGGCCACATCCAGCCCACATCCAATGATATTGACATTCGATATGTGCCTGCCTCTGAGAACCCTCATGGCAAACTCTGATTCACTTACAGACCGCTTCTTGACTGTATGGCTGCACTTCAGGCTACACCAGCAACTCTCATTGTAATGCTGCAACAAGGACACTGTGCACTCAGGGATACACACCCAGCTCATGGACTAGAGCAAACTGCATTTCTACCCTCTTCACTCAAAGTTATAGCACTCACTCACTCACCCTGCACCTACCTGGATGCTCAGAGCATCTATGCCTTGCCTTGCCATTTTACACTCTGCCTCCTCAGTCAGAGATACCAGGCTTATGTTACTGCATTCTTGCCTTGCTATTTAGCAGAGGCACAAAGCCCAGAATCTTGTCATTGTTGTAAGTGGGCCTCACTCAAGTCAAGAGGGATAGCTATTGCTCAGGGGTTCCTGGCACAATAAGTCAAGAGCATCCTCCAGTATCAGTCCAGGCCTTGCTTGGGGTGATCAGAGTCAGGACTATTTCTTCCTTAAGGGTGAGGAGCTGAATACTGGGCAATGGACCACCAGTCTTGACTCTTTCTATTCTATATCTGCTGCCCTTTGCTGATACTTAGCTCCAAAGAGAACCCACACATTGCTCTTCCAATCTGATATCCTCCTTTGCTAATGTACTGATCCCTTCTCTTATGATCAGTGCAACTCTACCTCCTTTTCCTTCTTGTCTTCTTCAACATTAAGTATTCTTGAATATTCAGTTCCCAGTCTGGGTTACCGTGCAGCCATGTTTCTGTAAGTGCAATTAGATCATACCTAAGTATATCTATCTGTACCTTTCAAGTATCTGCTTTGTTGTGAATGCAGTGTGCAAGCAGGCAGAGTGAAAAATATAACATTATTTTAAGATCATTTTTATGGAAAATTGCTTCAAGAGTCTTGAGATCTCACAATGCCAGTAGTGGAAATATATTTCTATACTAGGGTCTTACAGGCATTGTCTTCCATTCTAATCTTGTCATTGTGAGCTACAAATCTTCTGTCATGCCCTTTCCCCCATTCTACCATGTTTGTCATCTTTTCGAGAGCTTGTTGTCATTTTTTGCATTTTAGTGGGTTTGTGAATGGAAGTTTGGAACTTCTTTGAAAAAGTTTGGGTAGTATGATTTCCTTTTCATTGTAATTGCCCTCTTCCAAAGCCTAGAAATGAATTTCAATTTTTTTTAAAAAATTCCTTGCTGATTTTCATCCTATTTATAATTTGTAAGCCTGCCAGAATTCGGAAAGCATTTTCAGTTAAAAAGGATTGGTTATAAAAATGGAAAATTCCAAAAATACTCAACAGCATATTTCCAGCTGTGAAGAGAGGAACAGAGTTAATGATTCAGGTCAGTTTTTGAAAGGTTATCAACCTGATGTAGTAACTCCCTTTCTCTCTGCATGGATATTGCCAGACCTGATTATTTCCAGGATTTTCTATTTTTATTTCAGATTTCCAGCATCTGCCTTCATGCCTTTGTAAACATAGTTTATGTTTGTACACATACTGTCCAAGGTTTTAGTGCTGCTTCAGGTTCTACTGCCATGAAACAATGTGCTGTAGTAATCTGCAATTGATCTCCCTTTCCTTTCAGCTCAGCATCTGATTGATGCAATACTGATGAATGCTGTCAGAAGTTGAGATAAAACAGAGTCTCCTAATCTGCGATGCTCTACCATCATCAAACAATGAGAGACACTGAACAAACGTGCACAATCCCCAACTGAACACTCACTGTTTAACAACTAGAATGCATATATTAATGAGTTAGACACTGCAACTAAATGTAATATCTCCAGGTTTGCAGATAACACAATACTGTGTGGGAGGGCGAGCTGTGAGGAGGTTGCAGAGATGCTTCATTATGATTTGGACAAGTTGAGTGAGTGGGCAAGTGCATGGCAGATGAAATTCAATGGGGATAAATGTGAGGTTATCCGCTTTGGTAGGAAAAAAAACAGAAAGGCAGATTATTATCTGAATGGTGGTAGATTGGCAAGGGGGGAGATGCAGCGAGACCTGATTGTCCTGATACACCAGTCGCCAAAAGTACACATGCAGATGCAGAAGGCAGTGAAGAAAGCAAATGGTGTTTTGGCCTTCATTGTGAGAGAATTTGAGTACAGGACCCAGGGTGTCTTGCTGCAATTGTACAGGACTTTAGAGAAACCCTACCAGGACTTTGCAGTTTTAGGCTCATTATCTGAGGAAGGATGATCTGGCTATGGAGGGAGTGCAATAAAGATTTACTACACTGATTCCTGGCATGGAAGTACCAATATATGAAGAGAAACTAGATTGGTTAAGGCTTTAATCACTAGAATTTGGAAGAATGAGAGGGGATTTCATAGAAAGCTATAAAATTCTAACAGGACTAGTCAGGGTAAACAGAGGAAGGATATTCCCCATAACCGGGGAGTCCAGAACCAGGGGTCAGTCTAATGATATGTGGTAGGCCATTTAGGACTGAGGTGAGGAGAAATTTCTTCACCCAGAGTGTGGGGAGCCTGTGAAATTCTCTGCCACAGAAATCAGTTTAGGCCAAAGCATTGAATGTTTTCAAGAAGGAGTTGATATAGTTCTTAGGGCTAAAGGGATCAAAGGGTTTGGGCAGAAAGCAGGTACTGATTTGGATAATTATCCGTTATCATACTGAATGGTGAAGCTGGTTCAAGGGGCCAGATTTGCCTACTTCTGTTTCTAATTTGTATGTTTCTATGTAAATGTGTACTTTCAAATAGCCCAAGTCAAAAAGCAAGTCAGATCCCCATCTTTAATGTGAATTTGGGATTACTGCTATGGCTTCAACATTTCATCTAAAAAACCTGAACTTCAGTTTTTTTCTATTTTTCCTTTACAGTATAGTTTAGGGTTTCTTTGACAATCCTGAGTGTCAGGAATAGACTCGCTACTGAGGTGGGCTTGAGTCAGAGAACTACATGACTCGCCAGATTTGTCACAGTGAAAGTACCCCAGATGGCATGATTTTCTCTTGGGGATGTAGCGCTGCCAGAGGAGATATGGTTTGAGCATGGACTGGTGGCTGATGGGCTGGGGGTGGAGTGGTCATGGTGTTGGAAGAAGTCAGGCTGACTGAACCTGGAACCAGAGTGCCTGCAGTCATGGAGGTGGATGAGTGGAAGGACAGTCTGGTTGAAAGCTTGCCTCAGTTCTCTGGAAGTTCCTCCCAGTGGTTCCAGAAACTGTTCCATGCTCTTGTTCTCACTACCACTTCCTCCCCCCAACCATGGTGTTTCATATCCTCCATGGTGCCAACTTCAAACAGATGCTGCTATTTCGGAGCTGGTATCAGACTGAACTGACTTTGCGTGATGCGAGACTTTAGCGGCAAGTCAAAAAAAGTTTCTGAAGGCCTCTGGGAAAGGGGCCTTTCAGTCCTGAAGAAGGTTTATACCCAAAACATTGACTGCTCTTTTCCTCCAGATGCTGCCTGGCTTGCTGTGTTCTTCCAGCCTCCTTTTTGTCTAGCAAGTAATTCAGTTCAGGGCAACAAATGCTGCCCTTAACAGTGATGCTCACATCCCCTGGCACAAAATAAAGAATTAGGATAATGTACCCTTCATCATGTACCACCTACTGTGTGTACATGTTACATCTCTGAGAAATGCTGATGTTAGCCATTGCCCTCAACCTCCTTTGCAGAACCCTTATGCGACCCACACTTTGCACTCTGCCTATACCAACCTCAAATTCTACTCAGTATAGTAACAGCCTTACCTCCACCATTGGCTGCATGTTTGAAAGTGCCTTAAATGCTGCTTTTGCTACTTGTAATTCTCTACCACCAATAATGAGCTCAGCTGGAGCCCTCACCATCTCCATGATTGTCTTATTGCAAGGTGTGAATCATTCCTATCCTTGTGGATACCCATCCCAGAATCTGGAGATGTTGCTGGCAGTAATAGTGTGGCATCCCCACTGACAATTAAGTGAACACACAGGCGTGAACAGCTTCCAGCTTCCTCTGTCACCACATATAACCTATGCCCACTCACATGGTACAACCTGATTCTCTAGACTGACTGATATGGGCGAGGGACTGTGAAATTGCAGGGTTGGCATTCATTCCTGCCACATCTGCTGGCTTGTTCCCATTGAACCAGACATTTTAACAATGACAAAGTGCTGCTTTAAGGGTAATGGGCAAGATACAATTGAATGCTAATACCTAATTTGGGGGAGGTGAAAGGCTAAGTCAATGGGCACAGATTTATGCAACATCCTACAAGCAGCTACCGAAGCATTGTGCTAATATAAATTAACGCCCACAGGAATTAAACAGGGCTTACCTCTGCATCCATTCTATGTCTGGAGTTGATGAGCCGAATTCTGTACCTTACCACCCCACATCCAGACCACCCAGTGTGAGGTTTGTGCTGTTCAAATGCCTTTCTATACAAACGGGTGTAGTAAGCTGGGGAATTTCATGACTTAGGCTACCTGCCTCAGCAGCAAGAATTCAGGCAATGAACACTTGACAGTGAAAAAACTTCCTTTTTTTTTCTCTCAGTGACAGCTGCATTTAAAAAAATGTTTAAAGGATAGGGTATTTAAAAAAAATTCTGATCATCAAATTTGAACAGACATTATCCACTCTTCAGGGATGTTTATATCTTGGTGACTGCGTGTCTGTAATTTAAAATAGCCCTATTAAATTTGGGTTTCCCTCCTGTTTAATTCATACACCGACCCCCTGCTGGCAAAAGTTGGATTTGTTATTAACAGGGGTGGGACTTCCACACATGAGTCCAGTTGTTGTTTTTAAAGAAACAAGAGTCACTACAAGAAGCCAGCCCTAAGGCTCACTACTTAGTTACAGAATGCAGAAAGATTTGAAAAGTTGTAGTTCTGTATGGTATGGGAGCATGTTTACATTGTTCACCTTTAAGAAGTGAAAACGTCTAATAATTTGCTCATCTACGATTGTGGAATGTAAAACTAAAGGTAAGAAACTTGCTATTATACAATACCAGATAAAGTTTAATCAGCCTCCTGTGCTATTTGCAGGAAGTGTGATTTAATCATCAAATTATCAAAGGGAAAATGTAGTGTGAATTCTGCTGATGTTGTAGTCTGCTGTAGGATTAAAACAAGTCATGCATTAAAACTGTTCATTAATTAGGGACATTCATTAATTAAAGACATTTAATTTAAACAGTCTCTGATTTTATCCTTGCTTTATATTGTAAATTGAGTAAAATAAAAAAGGCAATCTGGGTTTTAAATGAATTTTGTCTATTTTTAAGCAATAGTTTGTGATGTGTAAGTCTCAACAATCCATTAAAAATAATGCCTTGTGAACATTCTTGTAATTTTTAAAATATTTACAAAAACTGCTTGAACAAGTGCTTTAATTTCAAAGAAGTAAACAAATCGTTCTTTTTCCCAGGGTGGAAATGACTATTCTGAGGGGGCATAATTTTAAGGTGATTAGAGGAAGGTATGGGGGAGATGTCAGAGGGAGGTTCTTCGCACAGAGAGTGGTGGGTGTGTGGAATATGCTGCCGACAGTGGTAGTGGAGTCAGATACTTTAGAGAGACTTTTAAGCGACTCTTGGATAGGCACATCTATGATAGTATAATGTAGGGTAAGCAGGGTAGTTTGATCTTAGTGGAATAACAGGTTGGCACAACATCGTGGGCCGAAGGGCCTGTGCTATGCTGTACTTTTCTATGTTCTGTGTTCTATGTAATAACTGTTTAGAATGAAAGGACATAAAATTTGTTTTTATTTTAAAAAAACGGCAATGATGCTGTCATGCAATAGGTGGAAAATTATAGCAACATTTTTCACTCATTGATAACAAGCCCATGGCTGGAACTTACCATAGCTGATGTATAAACAGCACCTGCTACTAGTCAGACTTGCCTTGGTCTGACCGGGCCACGCAGTTTACCTATCCATTGCTGCGTTCCATCCGAACACCCTGTCAGTCTCTGGTTCCCATTGTCCATTGCAGACCCACAGCTTGTCATTGAACATTATATACAAGCAGGCAGTCACATATGACCTTTTATTTACAGAAAGTAAAAGGGAACACAAGCAAAAGTAACAGAGGCTCACCCCCACAATGCAAACCAAATGCTGACATCATGACCAATGACTATTTTACAGTCCTTGATGGTCTGCTGCACCCAGCTCCCATCTACTGGAACTGGGTGTCACTCAGGTCTCGACTGGTACGTAGAGCCTGATGCAGCTCAGCTCAGTCATGGACGTGGAGAGCTTCCTCCTCCCCAAGTCTTTGTTCTCCCTCCTCAGAAGACTGCTCCCATTCTGCCAGTTCCTCAACAGTGAGCACATCACCTCATTGTTTGCCCCAGTTGTGCAGAGCACAGTGTGCCAGATGATGATGTGGCACTCTCAGTCCAGACTCTACTAGATAGCACCTCCCAGCCCAGTCCAAGCAGCAGAACTATATTTTCAACAGCCCTTTGGCTACTGCACCTTGCCCTGGTCAGAGCACAGGCAGCACTGTGTCTGTGCTTTGCACCAATCACGGGGCTGTGTAATGGTGTTATCACCCATGGTCACAGCGGATATCCCTTGGTCCAGTAAGCAGCCTCGTAAAGCTCCTGGACTCTCTCACAGCCACCAGTACATGAGAGTGCTCCAGGGTGTAAAAGTCATGGTCTCTGCTGGGATAGTGTGCGCACACCTACAGGAAGTAGTAACAGTGATCACAGATCACCTGGGCGTGAGTCGAATGAAAACCTTCCTGTTGATGAATTCCACAGTGTGGACCCTCTCAATGCCATGTGTGTACAGTCGATGGTACCTTGCATCTGGGAGAAACTAGTTATGTTCCTGAATCTTACAATCCAGGCTGCAGAACTGATCATGTCATACAAGAATAAAATGGACGAGTGTGTGACCGCGCACAGGTGACATCAGCCGCTGTCTTGGAGCTGGAGGAACACAGCAGGCCAGGCAGCATCAGAGGGACAGAAAAGTTGACATTTCAGGTCAGGACCCTTCTTCAGGCCTGACCTGCTGTGTCCTCCAGCTCCACACTGTGTTATCTCTGACTCCAGCATCGGCAGTTCTTGCTATCTCAGCCACTGTCTTGGTGCTTTTGTGGGGCATGACTGAGAGATCCCACACAGGTCATTCATCGGTGCTTGGATGAGGCCAGTTGTCACCTTCACAGCCACTGGGAGAGGATGGCCTCCCACTCCTGCAGCCCTCAGATCCTGCTCCAGCATCCAGCAGAGTTCCATCACAGTGTACCACTACATACACATCCCATGCATTCGGAGACTGTGACCACTCTTTGAGCTGGCAGCTCCTCATCCTCCGCTACTGGCCCTGGATCCCCTGCGTCTGCCTGCAGCCTCTTAGGAAGGCAGCCACAGTGACCAATCCCCCTAGTAACTGGTCACAAGGCTCTCGGTGGAAATGACCCACCCAAGGAACATGATGGGGGGAAAGAGGTCCTTAGAATTGAGAAGAATCAATGCTGGCGTACCCTGCAGGGCCACACACTCTACTCCATTCAGTGAGACATGCAGCACCTGGTAATGAGACCTCAACAACAAAGGGTCATGTCTCCATTCATCCAGCGTCAGCCTCAACACATGCAGCAAATCAGTGAAGCTGCACCTCTGGCTGAGTGACCAGCCCATGACATTAAAAAGGGAACAACTGCAGTGCTCCCACCCTCTTCCCATCCCAAACCCATATCAATCTTCAACTTCTGTAGCATTCAGTGTAGACCACCTTGACACTTGCAAGGCAGGTGGTGAATCAGTGGTGTGCACCTTCTACATCACCTTGGAAATGGCACAAAGAACGATTCCTATTGGCCTCCTTTTATTGCTTCTAACTTAAGCATCATTGAGATGCCAGTGTTCAACTTGCAAGCACCAATAGCCTGGAGGAAATCAGCTTTGAACAGCATATGACCCCCAAGCACCTTTACTCTGCCTGCTTTACAAATGGGCAATGAAGTGATTGCAGATTAAATGGTGCTGGGGTTTGCGAATGGCTGCTTCATGTACTTGTTCCTTCAGTGTCCTGGCATCCAACAAGTGTGGATTCAATGCTTTTGCCCATCAAACTGACAATGATTCTGCCCACCTGGGCTTCACCTCAGCTATTTTCGAGTGGCGTTTCACATCTGGAAAAGGGAAAGTGATGGCAGGAAATGCGGTTTATGCTGGGCTTGTCAGCTCTGGGCTTTGCCTGGTCACCAGATTTTCCCCAGAGTCTCCATGTCCCTTTGTACCTCAGCCTAGTTCCACCTATTCCCTTATGTGGAGACTTACCACATAGAACTTCACTTGCAGCTATCCTCCCTGTCCCCTGAACCTTGACATTACTCCTTAATGAAATCACTTTATCCTCTGTGCTTCCCTATGGAGTTCATAGTCATGATCACTGCCACTAGTGGCCACGCCCATAGCCTACCATGCACTCTGGTGCTCTTCCTTGTTGACACCTCTACAAATGTCATTGTTTCTCCCCCTCCCCACCCATCTTGGCAGCGAACTCCCCTGCTGACCCTACAGACCCCATTTGCACCTTCCTGAATGACTGATGGATTGATCCCCAGGATGACATTCACCCCATACTGCTGACTGACTTTGACAAGAAGCCCCTAGACATGACTAACTGTGTTTGCAGCTTCCCGACTGATGATACCTGATCCCTCTGTCTGCTTGTGATGTTCCTACAAGACTGACCCCTGCCCACATCCCAGACTGCAGTTGGACAGATTCCTGACAGTAATGAAAGCCTCTGGTTCTGGAACAGCATGGCATGATGTGTTATGGCCAGGCAAGGCAGGAATACTGTGTGCATGCAGGTAGGTGCTAAGTGATTAATTGATTGCTTGATTGATTTATTATTACATGTACTGATATACAGTGAAGAGCTTTGTTTATGAGTGGCACAGGCAGATCAAGATGAGCAAAGAATGTAGTAAGCAAAGGATAAGCAAGCAACCCTGAGGTGCAGTCTGATCTAATCTTTGATTTGGGTGCCTCTCCCTGCATGCAATTTGTCTCTGCTGCAGCTTTTCAACACTAGTTGCTGATGCGTCCTGCAAGTCTATCAGAGAGGTGCCATGATGGTCATAAGGGGTTGGCAATATCCTTGGACAAAAGATTCATGCAGCTGGTGCCCATGGATTGTGCCCTGAGATGCTGATTAGTGTTGAACAACACGTAGGTCCTTCAGAGGAAGTGGCAAACTGAATTTGCTGGATATTTGCTCTGGTTTCCATGTCCTGTTTTTTTTAAGGCTATCGCATTCAGTAAGATTGGGAGCTGAATATAAATGAGGTGAGTTGGCATTTAACAAGCAATTATCCTATTTAATTGTCTACCTAGCAAGAAACCCACCTCACTGCTTGTCAAAAACATAAAAGATAGAACTTGATGCTCCCAACTTCAAGATAGGCCTTGCACCACGTCTCATCCGAATCTGCCACAAATCCCACCACAGCCCATGTCAGTCAGACCCCAATAAGATTCAACCTTAAGTCTTATCACAGTTGGCCTGAAGTGGAAACGCCCTAACTTTCTATAGAATGTTTATCTTGTGTCTACCTTGTAAGTACAAGAACTTTATGCTATTTAGTGCATTTGAATGGTGAGACAGACAGGACATGGTGTATTGTCATAGCACCTTCCAGATTTCCTGGTACTACCAGCCTCACAGTTAGTCTGAAACAAGTTCTGGCCTTTCTGGTTCTAAAGTTATTCTAAGCTCTTATGCTTCCACCTTTCTTTCATCTTTACACCTACATCATTGTATGTTGTTATCTGAGAAATGTTCTGTCAATTTACTACTTAGACCTAACCATAACTGGGATACCACTTCTTCTTTCCCCTTATTGTATTTTTTTTCTATATTCCTATCTCTTTTCAAATTTCTCAATGTTGTCAACTGAGAAGTAATCTGGCAAGTCCAGCTGATTGCTAATGCCACGAAAGGGCAA